TTTTCGTAAAAAAAAAAAAAATCTTTAATGGTATTTTCTGATCTTATTTATCAACTATAATTTGCAGTATACGGGTATTTTCCTTTGCTAGTATAATCGGGATCCTCATTATGCTTCCGGTGAATTATTTGGGAAATCAGTTGGGGGAAGATACCAATTTTTCAAACAAGTCATTGGACCTATTTAGTATTTCAAATGTTAATAATGGCTCCAACAGGTAACATTTACTAGCTTTATTGATGAAAATGATTGACAATAAACAATTATTGCTGTCAATTTTCAAGCTTGTGGGTATGACAATACTTTTGAGCATGCATTATATAGTTTATGGGAAAGGTACTGATTACCATTTTTGATCTTTTTCAAGCTTATGGATCCACTTTTGTGCTGCATATATTTTCACTGGAGTTGTCTGCTATCTACTTTATTATGTAAGTAATGTGTCACTCAAGATTGCCTAGTTGATTTTACAGTATTTAAAGGGTGGGAGCCTTTTAAGTTTGGATATAATTACAACAAGGTTTTCTTGTCATTTGAAAACGTAAAAACAACTTGGTCTTACTCCAACTTCTTAGCAAATGTCAAGAATTTTGAAAGCATCCTATGTCTCCATCATATGACTATAAAAGATCAAGCTATTTTTCATGGAAGCAAAAAAGAAAATTGGCTTAGTATTTTAATTCAAATGACATAGAAGAAGAGACAAAGAGGAGTTTAAAGAAATAGGATTCACAAAATTCTATTGTGTAAAAATAGGTTTTTTAAAAAAATAGTGTGCATAAATTCTGTTTTGAGAAATTCTCTAGTGGTAAGATGTATTATTTTCTAAAAGTAATCAATGCAGTTGTAATTATACCTAAATATCAAGAATATTTTATGTAATCTACCCAATTCTAAAGGATATTGAAGTTTTAGCTTGATGATGAGTGTATACTTTTGCAGGAGTATAATCATATTTCATTGAAAAGAATTGCTTGGTTCTCTTCATCAAAACCTCGACCAGATCAATTCACAATACTAGTTCGTGGTATCCCTAAAATTCCAGGAAGAAGCTACAGTGAAACTGTAGAGAGCTTTTTCATGGAGAATCATTCTTCCACTTACCTTTCGCATACTATAGTTCATCGAACTAACAAGCTTCAAAATCTCATTGTAAGTACTCATGGAAGTTTTTAGCGGTTCTGTTATATTATTTAACATTTTTTTTTTTACTCATGATATGTAGCCAGGTTGGCTCTCAAGGAAAGAGAATCTTTTCCTATCTCCACATTCTCCTAAAGGTCCATACACTTTAGCAGGGCCTTTATGGATAGCTCAAAATTGATAGTTTAATCATTGAAGATGACTGGTGAAGATGCTCATAAATTTCTTATTGTCATGTTTATTGTGTTTGTGGGTCTTTTGAGTTTTTGTAGCTAGTTTTCTCTTTTATGTCTATTGTTTTTTGAATAAAGAGGAGAGAAGAAAGTGAATCTTTTTATTTCATATGCATATTATAAATTCAGAAGCTACTATAGTAACCAAGGTATATGTCTTTTCTTACACACTTCATTTAATTTCTTTTATATTTTTTTTCTCACTTGTGTTACACACTTCTCATAGATTAGACTCAGAATCTAACTTTTTGTATACTAATTCATTATATTTTTCATCCACACAACTCTTTTTTTATTTTCTTGTACTCAAGGAGTATGCTTATGCTTTACAAATTAATACTATATTCAATAACTAAGCAAAGCATGGAAGCAAAAATGTCAATTTTCAGATAAGTTGTAACGAAATGATGTTAAAACTTAGTATCTTAGTTCTGAAAGCAAGTCTTTAGAATTTAAACTAGCATTTGATGTTTATGTTATCATTTACAGAAAGATGGAACAAAGCTGTATCAAGAGATTGTTAGCTTAAAATCAAGAGATTCTTCTCAGCAAACTAAACGAGAGGGCTTCTTGGGGCTTACTGGTAGAAAAGTCAATCTCATAGAAGTTTATGAAAAGAAGCTAGAAGATTTAGAAGACAGTATGCGGATGCAACGATCTTTAATAGTAGGAAAGGTGAGTTTCAATTGTAAGCACTTGATTGATGGCAAGAATTTTGGTTCTGACATAAATTTTCTACTCTTGATTTGTGAAATTTATTAGGAAGTTTCAGCTGCATTTGTGTCATTCAAGTCTAGATATGGAGCTGCAATAGCCTTACACATCCAACAAGGGCTGAATCCGACAGAATGGGTCACGGAAAGTGCTCCTGAACCTCGTGATGTTCATTGGACTTTTTTTTCTACGTCAGTGATAAGAAGATGGATATCTCGATCGGTGGTGATTCTTGCGTACATATCACTAACGATTTTGTTCCTTATTCCAGTTGTAGTAGTGCAAGGTCTTGCTAATCTCAACCATTTGCAGACCTGGTTCCCATTTCTGAAAGACATATTGAGACTGTAAATCCATGAAAATTTTCTCCATTTATGTGACTAACACATTATGTTTTTGATTTATGATGTTACTAATGTAGAAATCTTGAACTGCAGAACATTCATTAATCAAGTGATTGCGGGATATCTTCCAGGTCTCATTCTTGTATTATTCTTGCTACTGGTGCCACCTACTATGCTGTTATTTTCTTCCGCGGAAGGATACATTTCGCGAAGTCAGATTGAAAGAAGTGCCTGTAACAAACTACTGTTCTTTATTGTATGGAACATTTTACTTGCCAACATTTTATCAGGGTCAGCTCTTTATCAAGCCAATCTCTTCCTTGAGCCTAAAAGCATTCCCAAGGTTTTAGCCGAGGCTGCTCCAGCACAAGTGAGATTACATCTCCCTTGTGATGTTTCATTTCAGAACATTAAAAGAGCTGGATATGATTTATGTGCTTATTCATTTCTATGTGTAGGCATCTTTCTTCATTGCATACGTTGTGTCATTTGGGTGGACTAGTCTCTCCTCGGAACTTTTTCGTCCGTTTCCTCTTCTTGTTTGCTGTGTAAAAATGCTATTTTCCAAAGTAGACATTGACACATTTGCAGCCCCATCGCCTCCTTATCACGTAGAGATTTCTTGGGTTGTCTTCTATGGAATTCTTGGCGTGGTGTACTTCTTCATGGCTCCACTAATTATACCATTTCTCTTGTTTTACTATTGTCTCGCATATATTGTCTATCGCCACCAGGTACATATGTAGAATGAATTTATTTTGTGTTTATACAGCTTATTCCAAACATTAGGGATTAGTCAAGTAAATAGTGAATTATGCTTATCTTCAACACTTCTTTATACAGTTTTGTTAATATTTGTTTTTGTATACATGCAGGTAATGAATGTATATGAAGCCAAGTATGAAACTGGTGGAAGTTTTTGGCCTATTGTGCACAATTCAACCATTTTCTCTTTGATATTGATGCAAGTTATTGCAATTGGGATATTTCGCATCAAAAATCTTTCTTTAGCATCCACTTTAATCATTCCTCTTCCATTACTTACACTACTCTTCCATTGTTATTGCGTAAAACGCTTCTTGCCTCTGTTCAAATCATTTCCTGCGGAGGTACAACTTCACTACTCCATCTTATAAAAGAATAATCTGACTTGAATTTATAATCTTTAACTCTCTATTAGTTGATAATGTAAGTTTAAGTCTGGTAAATTATTCTTATGTTTTGAACCAATAAAGTTGCATATACATATTTATATACATATTTATGTGTTTAAAATTAAGCTTTATAGATAACTTGTCATTCCGCCAATTATTTGACAGTCGTTATTCTTTTAATTCCTTTTTCCCCAGCTCATCCTGCATTTATTTGATTATTAACAGTTTTACAACACTGATATGAGAATCATAATAATTAATGTCTTGCAGTGTTTGGTTAAGAAAGACAAAGAAGACCAGAATGATCCTAGCATGGATGAGTTCTTCAATAACCTAGCCACGGCCTATGAAGATCCTGCTCTGTCGCCAGTTGATTATTCAAGAAATACAGACAGGCAAAGAGCTCCACTTCTTCAAGTTCCAAGTTCATAAATTTTCTTTCCTCGTTGCTGTAAAAGAAGTATTAGGTGAAGTTTGAGATAAATTTTCTTCCCAGAAACTCCCAAGTGATTGCGAAACAAAATGCATAATGACTTGTGCCAAATGTTTAAAGAATTAAAAGCTTCAAGTTTCATGATATGAAATGAGCACTGGGTTAGTGTCAATTATTAATTTCAATAAACACTATGCTGAAATTATTTATGGGTATTTCAAATTTTCATTGCTTCAATGTTTTTTAATTAAAAAAAAAAAAAATTGTACTGAAATACTCTTATTCTATTATCATTGAATGAATGACTGGGGAGAGAATGTGCGGAACAAGTGCTACAAATCAATGGATAATTATTTGGATCCAAAATTTGGATAAATATTGTATAATTAAAAGAAATTTTAGAAAAAAAAAAAAAAAGATATTAAATAAGAAAGAAGATTGGATAAGAGGAAAAATATATATTTAATTTCCTTTCTTATTCCTTTCAAAATAAAATTATAAAAAAATAAAATAAAACTAAATAAAATTGAAAGTCTGATGGTTTGTATGCATAAATAAAAGCATTAATGTTATAATAGAAAATTCTGTGTAGAAAATGGAGAAATCATATATAGAAAGTATTAGTGTGAAAAAAAATTTCCGTTAGGAAAAACTAATGGATATATTTAATTTTTAGTAGGAAATGAACAATAAATTAATCCATAAATTATCGTTAAATTTTAGTAACAAAATCAATGAATGTGAAACTAAAATTAGAAATAAATGTTTATAATTTTATACTTAATTACCAATATTAATTTCACATTCAATCTCTCTATCTGAATAACTATTGTTTTGGTTACAAATATCTATTTATATTAATTACAAATATATTCTAATCTTCATGTTTCTATATTAAGATTAAAATTAAGATTAATTGCCATCCATTATCCCCTCTAATCGTGGAATATTAACGTATCAAGTGCAAAAATAATAAATTAAATTCCGAAACTTACAACATTGAAATTAACCATTCCAATCATGGGAAAGAATCAATCAATCAATTCCCATTGATTAAGCTACTAAAACAAAAACTTAAGCACACAAAGACCTATAAATAATGATGCTTGGTTGGTCTCCAAATCATAAGTCGGAGAAAAAGATAAACCTAGTGTAGTCGGCATAAATAAGAATCAAGAAGAAAAAAACTATGGCAAGAATCGGGATGAAAAGTCTTCTAGTGATTAGTTTGATGGTATTTGTAGCTTTTGTGCAAGCTCAAGATACTCCTCCGGAAATTCCAAGTGACTGTGAGACAAAGTGCATAATGACTTGTGCCAAGTTTGCCTTCCTTTTCAAGCCATGCTTTTCACTTTGTAAGCTCAAATGTAAGATCATTCCAATGGAGAAAACCCTAAATTGCGTTCATGCATGTGCCCAGTCTATGCCAGAAGTTTTCCATACTGGTAAATATCTTCTCACTTTTCTTTTTTTCTAATATTTTCCTAAGTGATTAACTTATATTTATATGTATATATACATATATACAATGCTTTGTTTATTTTTGTGATGACGACAGATAGGGAGAATGAAGAGAGATATTTGAACTTCTGCCATGACAAATGCTTGAAGAACGAATAGTTACTAGAATCTTTTGCTGTATGTGTTAGGAGATGAAATGAGAATAATGCAAGGATTTGGAATGCTTGATGTACACTACTAAATGACTTCAATAAACAATCTAATGATATTGCTAATGAGTTATTTAATTAAAATTTTCCAATTTTTTTTTTTTTACTTTTTCTTGTTAATCTTTTATAAAATTATTTTAGTTTTGTCTATATTTTATTTTTAATATAATTTAAAAATGACAATAAATAAAAATTAACTTTAATAATAATTATTAGGTTATTACTATTAAGCAATGTAGATTATGATAATATGCATTAAACATATATTCATAAGTATACAATAATTACTTTTTAATTTTTTTAAAATTTATACTCTTAAATATATGATCATCAATTTTTGAAAGGATAACATATAAAGAAAAATTTTTAGTACAATGCAGTGACGTAATTATTACGTTTATTAATAAAAAATTGTATATAAATTAATGTAAATCATTAATAAAGCAACCACGTGATTATACGCCACATAATTAGTACAAAATAATTTGTGATTAAAATAAAAGATTCCCTCGTCATTACGCAAACATTAACAAGGTGACTCAGTTCAAAACTACTGGGCCCACTTCGACGCTTGCCAAGACCAGCAAGGGGCAAAATCGGCAATTCATAAATAAATCAGTTTAGTTGAGTAAAGCGGAAGCTCGCACTGGAGCCTGAAGAAGGTTCGTTCCTTTGTTTCCCTGCTTAACCAACTAGCAAGCCACTACTGCTAAATCAACCTCCAGAATCTCTCTCTCTTCTCTCAGTTACGTTCTCTCTTTCTCTTAATCAAAAATTATTTGTAAATGTAATTTTGCATTTACATTTTTGTACTTATTATAGTTTACGCATTCTTCTTGTTTGCTAAAATTCCTGAGACTTATTTTTGAAAATTTAAAGTGCTTTTTGTGGACATGTTTCTTTACCTCAGTTTTTTTTGGCCTGCAGTAGTTTAATATGTATCTTATATATATATATATCATGTAAGATGTTTCGTTCTGGTTTGATGATCACCTGAGGATTCCTTTTGAAGCTTATAATTAGCGTATCATTGTTTATGTGAAGTTTCTGGTTTTGTTTTAGGTTGGTGATAAGGAAGGTGGTTTTTGGCTTGATTTTCCACTGAAGAGAAGAAGCGTTCGTTATAATTTACTTGACATAAATAGAAATGATTTTTAAAAGATTTTTTTTTCGTGGTTTCTCTTTTTCTTTTAAAATTCCTTCAAATAAAGTAGAAGGAATTAAAATCTGATGAAAGGTTGAACTTCGTTTCAACGCCCTTTGCTTAGTAAAAATTGAACATTATTAATAAGGATAGGTGACTGTTATTAAATCCGTGGAGTTTAAATGAACTGCGCTAGACTTGTTAGAAATGGGGCCAATGGTGGAACCATCCTTATTAATTTAGTGAAGAATCAGCAATTTTAAGCAGTAGAATTTCAAATTTTGATTGAAAGAAAGGTTGAACTAGGAATTAGCTGAAATCATGAAGATCATTACATAACAAGTTTTGTTCACAAGTGGAATAACTAGGCTCTCTTTTTCTTTAGTTCTGGTTGTTTAGTTAAGGCAGTGTGAGGACTTCAAATATATATGTATATATACATATATATTTGAATATGTATGTGTATCATGCAATGCTGTTCTTCAGTAGTTTATACTTTCTGCAATTTTTAATCTTAGGTGATTGGTTCCTTTGGATGCTGTTGAGCTTTTGAGGGAATGCAGTAAAGCTGTTGGGTATAAGGACTTCCATATATCTTCAACTTCTTGGGAAGGAATGATTCTTTCGGCACTTTTAACTTCTGTTGGAATCAATCTCGGCCTTTGTTTTTTGTTTTTCACTTTATATTCTATATTGAGGAAACAGCCAGGTAATATCACAGTCTACGCTCCGCGCTTGGTTCATGAAGGAATATCTCAACAGCAAGAGCAATTTAACTTGGAGAGGTTATTACCTTCTCCTGGCTGGGTGAGAAGGCAATGGAATCTCTCCGAAGACGAACTCTTGTCAGTCCTGGGTTTGGATGCTGTTGTCTTCCTGCGTATTTTTCTATTCAGGTAAGTCAGATCTTTTGGTGTTCCAAACAGTTTAATGCTGCTATATTTTTTATTTGATGGTAAGACAGTTGCATCCCAATGAGGATGAGGAGGAAATAGAAAATTGGCATGCAAAAGTCAGAATATTAAGATCAGAGAATACTGACATTGACTAAACTCTGAACAATAAGATTTTAGCCAATTATCAGCTTCTTAGTTACTGCAAAGATGCATAATTTAGGGGGAAAAAACTGTAAAATGTTGGATGCTAAAAAATAAGATAAATCAGTATAGTTGCAGGCTAAACTGGAGTTATGATGAAATAGTTTAATGGGAATCTCTTTCCTTAAAAGGAAAAAA